CTCCGCTCCGCTCCGCTCCACTCCACTCCACTCCACTCCACTCCACTCCACTCCACTCACTCACTCACTCACTCACTCGAGTTTTGCCGCGGATGTATTCTGCGCCCCCATGTGATGCCACTTCCTTGTCGAGGAGATGTGGTCAACAAATGTCGTCGTTTGGTTTAGTCACGAGTCACAGGTGGCTGTATAGTGGCGAGACTCTGTACAATAATACGGGGCACCATGAAGTTCATGAAGACGATACCTAAGGCTACATACTTCTGACGCAACAACCTGGCTTTCTCCTGCCATATACTGTAAGGCAAAGCATCGCTTGCATTGCTTTAGTATAGCCGTTGCAGGTCATTACGTAATATAGCCTTGCTGCCGGGTGCATGCATGACTCCCTGCCGTTGTCAGGCCGTTTGGTCGGTGTTGTGCGGCGAACAACGCCACGCGATCGGAGCTAAAGGAGCAGAGTGTCAGAGTGTCTTTGGGTGGGATCAAGTCACTATTGTCTGTTGCGTTTCGTTTCGTCGTCGTCGTGGTGATTGTTGTTGCGGTTGCGGTTGTGGTTGCGGTTGCGGTTGCGGTTGCAGTCAGTTTCGGTTGCGGTTGCCATTGTGGTCGTGCTCGAGGTTGTGGTTATGGTTGCTTGTATTTTTGTTGTTTGTGTTGTTGCTGCTTTTGTTGTTTGTTGTTGTTGCTGCTGCTGTTGTGTTTGTTGTCCGTAGCCGTTTTGGCCAAGAAGTGCTGGCGACAGAGGTGTTGACTTCCCGCTCCACACGAAGATTCCCCTTGCAGCGGTGCCCCTCGGGCCACCAGGCCCCCCGCCAAGAGCACAAGGCGGAAATGCTTGATCCCAACTAAGCTAGACCGACAGAAAAAAAAGAGTACACAGAAAACCTTGGGGAAATGCAGTGCTTCAACAAGGAGGAACAAGAGCAGCAGCCCAAGGTGGCGGCCGTCAGAAAAAAAAGCTCCAGGCAGCAGTGCCGAACATGGTGCCTGCCCCACTACCGCTTGATGTCCTGGAAGATCTCAAACGAGCTGGAGTAACAGACTAACAGGTCCAAGCTACGAGGGTTCACCTCACCAAGACCCCGGACGCTGACACACAGAACCCTTCCAACTTGGACCGGTGGTGGCCCAGAGGGTTAAAGCAACAAGAGAGACAACCGATGGCCGATGGAATGTGGCCCGGTAGCATTCCACGCACCAGCGCAAACCTCTGAAACGTTTGAAGCCAATAAAGATGAAGCGCGTTTCAGCGAGTTTTAAGTGGAATTTTACCCCGACCTGGCGGACAGACCTCAGCTCCCAATTGTAAGACTTGCGGTAAAGCACCCCCGAGGCATAGGCTATCACAGGCCTTATGGCAGGCTCTGTACACCCCTGTCCACAGCCCTATCACAGGACCCCCTGTCATAGGCCCTGTCCTTCCACCCTGCCAGGTGGGCTTCTGATTATACTTGGAGCAAACAAGATACATGATGAACCGGAATCCTCAAATGAGGTGGCGTGTTTGAGATATAGAATAGAATGAACTGAATCGCCAAATAGCGGGGAGTGTTTACGATATATGGTGAATCCGGTATGATGAACCGGAGTCGCCACATGAGGGGGCGTGTTTAGGATATAGGACGAGCCCGAATCGCGAAATGAGGAGGCATCTGTAAGATATATGTTGAACCGGAACCCCCAAATGACGGGGCGTGTTAAAAATATATGAGCATCGGACTAAACCTCCGGAAGAGGTAATCAGTACTAGAGTGGACACGAGATTGTGGAAAGTAGGGGTTTAGTATGAGAACCGATAGGGGCCGACCTATGTTCGGTT